CAGTAAATGTGACAATGTGTTTTTCTGATTTATTTTTCAATTTAACTAAAGTGATCATTATGATTATAAGTTCACTATATAATATGAAATTTGGTGTGAAAAATATTTGTACTTGAATCATAGGCAAATATTTTAAGATTTATTTCAGTTTAAATAATTGTTTTATTGAACTTGAACTTTAGTTCATTTTTCATTCAGTGTTAACACTGTCAAGGTTTCAGACTTGTTTTTCTGACCAGGTGCAAAGTTGTTATTCAGCTATGGCCAATAATTTTCATTCTGCCTGTAACTTAACTCAAAAAGTCGAGGTCACGTCCCTAGCTCCTCCTCTTTATACACTAACCCTGACGAAGCCTCGACACAGACACACTCAGAAAGAGAAAAAGTAAGAGACGAGGAGAGACACTTTTTTTTTTTGTCTCTCTAAGCTGTTAATTCCTTCGCAGGAAAAATTCAGCATTTTGACAATCCGGTTTGACTCTGGTGCCAACGAGCAAACCTTTTGTCTAGGGTCGTGACACCTTCAGTCATGACCTGAAAATCAGCTCTGAAGCTCCATTTATTTTTGAAACTTCTTGAGAAGTCTTTTATTTTGAAAGAAAATGCATTATTTTCTATAAGCTCATTCATAAAGTTGGAAAATAAAATTCCTGGGGATGTTTGAGTCATGAAGGAAGAAGAGGTTCTTCAACAAAAAGTTCCTGTTCTGGTCAGACCTTCATACCAACAGAGGAGTTCATTCTCTAAAATAAAGCCCAGCATTCCATGAAAGAAAGCATGTAGCCTGCTGCCTTTCACACAGGTTTAGACTTGGATAAAAATGAGCGTAGTTGTAGCCATAATGAAAAACTCTGAATAGATGATATTAGTTTAAAATTTAAGAACGGCAGGGGGTGATATGCTTTCCTTTAAGGATCACTAAGCCTTTAATCCACTATTGATGTGTTGATGGGACGTGTAGGTTTCACTTCCTGTTCAGAAGATGTCCAAACATGTGAGAAGAATCAGATCAGCACAACCTCAGCTGTCAGTGTGATCAAACTTCATCCACAGCTGAGGGCTTTTTATAGCATCAAAGCATCCGTTCTGGTCGCATGCAGCATAAACTGGAAAAAAAAGTGACATTTTATTAGAGTGCAGTGAAAAAAGCCCAGCGGAGGTTCTGTTCTCAGCAGCTCCGTCCAACACATGCAGAGAACTCAGACTGAGCAGTAGGGTTGGGCAATATTGGCAAAAAAATAAATCACGATTAATTGTGGTATTTAGCCGATAACGATTAATTTGAGGATTAATCCCCTGGAGTCCCTGGACACCATTATTTCATAGTCACATGACCAATTTAGTGGGAAAGATTTGTTCTTTATAAAAATCTGTTCCAAGTTGTGTCAAAATRACAGACTTCAGGCTATACATCAAATTTTAAATAGTGTTGATAGATAAATAAGTTACAGAACTTTTTTTTAATGTTCGTCATATTTGAAGCTGAGAGGAGCAGCGAGCGGATTCTACCTCTTGGCATTAATAGTATTAATTGTCAAGTGCCAAAAATTAATCGATTAATGTTTTTCTGACGATTAATCACACACGATACGATTATGCCCAACCCTACTGAGCAGTCATGTTCTGTCTTTGGTTTACTTTTTCACTTCGTACACAAACCCTTCATTTTTGTGGGAACCTGCTGCAGGGTCACTGACTCCCTGCCAGAGGGACCGACACAAGGATGATGATGATGATGATGTTTGAAGGATGAGTCATCACTTCAGTAGCTGCTGACCGCAGAGCTGACAGGCCTGGTTCTGTTCCTTTTAAAACACTCACAGACACTGAGGGCAGAGGTAGGAAGGTCGTGAAACGCTCCTGTAAATTCTGATTTGTCCCCAACAAAGACACTGTACCCCATGTTCTTCACAGTACTGCACACTTTCTGTAAATCATATCAACTTCATTTCACTTCTCAAATATCACTGAGTTTGTCCCCTGTATGATATATTTAAATGATTTTTTTAAATCCAAACAATCAATGATTTATAAAGTTAACTCAGGAAAATTAACAAGGCTGCCCAAACTTTTGCACCCCACTGTAAAGCACAAATGTTTTAACTGAGATGCTCTTGAAAACCTAAAGTTTTGGGCAGCTGTAAAAAATCATTAAAGTTTTA